TTCAGAATATCTGAAATTCAAGTTGATTCATGCTAATAATTTGTTTTGCTTTCCTGCTAAACTAATTAATACTGTGAATTCACAGAGCAAAAACAATGAGAGTTATGGCTTTTGGTTTAATGTTTTCCAGCAGGATTTAATATTTTACTATCCTGCCTAATTCAATTTTTAGCTTCTCCAATTGTGAGAAGTTATGTAAACAAAATAACAAATTTAAAATATTTACACAAACTGAAATTAAAGTCTACATTTTTACTTTAAAAACATAAACCAATGATGATATTTTTTATTTATAAAATGTATATATCTAAAAACACTATCTTTCTTTGTTTTTGAGACAGAAGTTTTGCACTGTTAGGAGAAAGGCTTATTAGCTTATCTTTGTGTGTTTTTTCTTTTCTTGTTGTGTTTTTTTTGGGGGGGGGTTTGTATTTATAGCCTCACAATTCTATCACAAAAATTAAAAAAAAAAACATACAGCACTGTTGATATTTCTTATAAAACCTGTAACAAAAGAAGTAATGAAATTAGACAATAAACCATAGGCTCTGGAGAGGGGAATTAAAGTGGAATTAGTACAGATACAAAATTACTTTCACATGAACTTTAAAAATATATGTGGAGGCCGGGTGCAGTGGCTCACGCCTATAATCCCAGCACTTTGGGAGGCCGAGGCAGGTGGATCACAAGGTCAGGAGATCAAGACCATCTTGGCTAACATGGTGAAACCCCGTCACTACTAAAAATACAAAAAATTAGCCTGGTGTGGTGGCGGGTGCCTGTAGTCCCAGCTACTTGGGAAGCTGAGGCAGGAGAATGGCGTGAACCCGAGAGGCAGAGCTTGCAGTGAGCCGAGATCGTGTCACTGCACTCCAGCCTGGGAGAGAGAGTGAGACCCTGTCTCAAAAATAAAATCAAATAAAGTAATATATATTTGGAATGAAATTATAAGGAAAACCATATTATTTGGAATTTAGATATATGAATTCAATTCTGAATTCACAGGTGGTGTAACCTGGGGCCAATGACTTACCAAATCTGACTTACAGTTTCTTATCAAAAACTGAAGAGAATTTCCTACTCAGCTTATCTGCTAGGATTCTTGTGAGATCAAATAACATAATTAAAGCACATGAAGGCTATTTTTAAACTGCAAAATGTTATGCAAATGTAAATGTACGACTTTTGTTAGGCTTAATGAATATGCATCATGACATTGTTAATAGGAACTGGAATTCTTAGACTGAAAGGAAAAACGTAGATAATGAAGTTATTTTAAAGGCATGTCCATGAAACTTACAGCTCATTTTTTTAAGCTCTAATGGCTAACACAGTACAGCAACAGTCCGAGTCAGTAAATGCTTGAATAAAAGCAAAAACATCAAAAATATTATTTTTAAAAAATTTCTGTTCCTACTGACAGTGGCCTCATTCAGAATGGCCTACTTTGATGGCCTTTGAGCCAAACAACTTCTCTTTGTATTCTAACCAATCTGCCTCAATAGTATTGTGTGTTATCTTTCTAAAACCCTTTCATTGATCTGCAATACTCAATGTCTCCTCATTGCTATAGAAAAATTCTACATTTTTCAATACAATATTAAAACATCTAACTTTCCTTTCCATGTCTATTTCCACTACTCTATCATACAAGAGTTATGTCTCAGCTAAAACTGGTTACTACTTTTTAAGTGAACATATACTACTTTTTTTTCTGCTTAAGAATGATAAATAGTAGTTATTATGAGAAAGCAGCAAGTGTGTGTTTACGTCTTACAAAATAGCATTGCATTGGCAGCTCTACATAAAAGAAAATGAAAAAAGTTTGAGTACATATTTTCAAATTACACAATAGTGTTCAAGAGATGAGAATTACCCAAGAAAAGACATTGGGCTATTATAGATAAATTACTGGTTTAGATTATTAGTTTATTGGGAATTTTAAAAATCAAGGTTGCTAGTATTGAAAGGCAGTCCTAGAGGGTAAACAGGACTTGAGTTAGATCTTGATTTACAACAGGGCATATCTGTGTATTCTCTGCATACAAGTGAACATTCTGATTCAGAACAAAAAATGAAAAATATCTAATGGGCAAAATGATTGTGGTAATGAATGTCCCACACTTTTTCATTTATTTGTGAATTCAACAAATATTTACCGATCACTATGTACTAGTTACTTTTCAACCCACTAGGCATAAAGCAGGAAAGAAAACAAGCCCTTGCTCTCAAAGAACTTTCATTTTTGTGGCAGCAGGCTGATCAAAACAGAGAAACAAAAAGACTTGATAGGTAGCAGACAATGCTAGGAAGAAAAATAAAGCTGAGGATGGTGCTGGGAAGTGATGGAAGCAGGATGGTAGCTGTTTTCTACAGGGAAGTCAGGGAAGACCTCCCTGGTGAGTGCATGTCTGAGAAAGACCTGTGCACTTGGGGAGACTGACTCATGTGCCTACCTGGAAGAGGGCCAATCTAGAGGACAGGAAATGCCAACACCCTGGGAGAAGAGCATGCTTGAAATGTTCTGGAACAGTTACGGGGCTTCACAGCGATACAGAGAGGGTATGTGAGGGAAAACAGAGTTAGAAGGTGTGGTTAGAGAAGTAGCAGTAAATATGATCATGGAGGGCCTTCAGGCCAGCAGATGGACTTTGGATGCTATTCTGGGAAAGACAGGATGTTGGAATTGGCTGTGAGCAGACAGGTAACATGATCAGACCTGGGTTTAAATTAATCACGCTGACTGTTGCTGAGAATAGACTTTGGGAGGCTCAAGGAGGAAAGAACAGTGAGGAGGAAAGAGTAATAATAAACAGGTAAGAGAAACCGGGGCTGGCTTAGGGCCGAAGCGGCAGTGATAGTGAGACGGGCCCTTTACTGATGTCCTGCTGCTTTTGCCATAAAGCAAAACTTCACTTGGCCCAAAGGCTTTTACTGTGTGATCCCCTTCTGTGTCTCCAACCACATTTGGCTCCTCCTCTCTTGTTCCTGTTACTCTCCACGCTAATTTGTTCTGTGCAGTCTTTCAGCATAGGATCTTTGTAGGGGTTATTTCTTCTGGTATAAATATTCTTCCTGTCCTTATTCACCTAATTAAATCAGTGTCATCTTTTACATTTTAGTTTTCCAGGGAAGCTCTCTCCAATGTACCCACTGTGTCAAATTCTCTGAATACAGCTTCTCATATGTTGTATTTATACTTCAGAGCAGTGCCCACCGTTGACATTTTGCATGTATTTACATCACTCTTTGCTTATTATTACTCTGTCTAGTCAGACTATGAGAGTGATGATGGAAGGAACAAAATGGTTTTCTCTGTTCACCATTAACTACCTCAATGCCTACTATAGTGTCTGTATTTGTTGAGAAAGAAGGAATGAACATCCAGCAGGTAGTAGAACGGATCTCATGCATTCAGACTTGTATTTGGCAGGAGCATACATGGATTGGTGTGTTTTTGTTTTGAAACTGAAGGGCTTTAGTTTCTTCATCTATAAAATTCAGAAGTTTGGAATTGCTGGGGTAATAGAGTGTCAGTTTTCCTCATCCTCTAAAATTTCAGATCAAGAGTAACATTACAGACAACACTAATGTCTTTTTTTGATTATGGTGTGATATTTATGTCATTACAATTACTTTTTGTTTTTGGATTGAGGAGAATGAGGAGTCTGAAAAATGTAAGTATGCGACTGGGTGCGGTGGCTCATGCCTGTCATCCCAGAGCTTTGGGAGGCCCAGCATTTGAACCCAAGTTTTGAGACCGGCCTGGGAAACGTGATGAAACCTTGCCTCTATATAAAAATATGAAAAATCAAATGGGTATGGTGGCATGTGCCTGTAGTCCCAGCTACTCTGGAGGCTGAGGTGGAAGGATCACTTGAGCCTGGGAGTTCGGGGTTGCAGTGAGCCAAGATTGCACCACTGCACTTCTGAACTGCACACTGAAGCTTGTGTGACAAAATGAGACCCTGTCTCAAAAACAAAACAAACCAAAACAAAGTAAAATAAATATGTACTATAGAAGTAGAATAGACTACCAATGAAAATGGGCATGAATGAGGTAGAGCAAATTAAGACAAGAAAGCTTGAGAGGAAAGTTTCAGTGGCTCTGTGTAGTGGCAGAGGGGACCGGAGTCTCCATGTGGTGAAGTAAGAGGTGGGTGCTCAGGAATCAGGATTCTGGGGCCTGAAAACAGTGGACAGAGCCTAGAGAATACTCATGAGTCAAACAGGTTTCTCAACTGTTACCCCAAATCAGAGACGAGACTAGCCCTTTATGGTTCATTTGGCACCCAGGAGAGTGGTCAGTTCAGAAGCTTAACACTCGCCTATTTCAAGAACCAAGGAAAATGTCCATCCAGTCACTGAGCACAAAGACATCAGCCTCTAAATATTTGAAGGTAAAAACCAGGACAGGAAAATATACACTTAAAATATACACTTAATTGGTGTTTATCCAATTAAGAAGCTTGAACCTGCTTGTTGTGTTTATGTATGTTTGAGAAGAATGGTGGTAACACTGAAAATGGGAGCAAATTAGGATTAATTTTCACAGGTTCCAGTGCAATGAGGACAGTAAGAAGAAAAGTGCTTGAGATTACACCCACGTTTCATTTAGAAACTATAATTTCTAAATCATTTAAAAAAACATAATGTAATTATACTCTGACATATTAAGTCATGTTATGGATTGACTTGTGCTCCCTCAAAATTCACTGGTTGGAACCCTAACCCTCAATGTCACTGCATTTGGAGATAGAGTCTTAAAGGACATAATTGAAATTAAATGAGGCCATCTGGGTGAAGTCCTAATTCAATAGGACTGGTGTCCTTATAAGAAGAGGAAGAGACACCAGAGATAGATGCATACAGAAGAAAGACCATGTGAGGACAGGGTGGGAAGCCGCCCAGGAGAGAGGCCTCACTGGATGTTTCTGACACCTTGATCTTGGATTTCTAGTCTCCAGAACTGTGAGAAAATAAATTGCTGTTGTTTAAGCCACATTATTTTGTTATGGAAGCCCAAGTTGACTAACACAGGTAAAAACAAAATGTTTCTTCTCTCATACAGATTTATGGGATTCACATCTCTTCAATATCCATTTCTCTCAATACCACCAGAAGAACTCATGGGAAACATCTTTAATTCAACAATGTGTTCTCTCACTTTGAGAAATAATGAATGAAAATGTGTAAGGAAAGATAGTCCAGGAAATGGGAGCAAGATAATTAAGGATACATCCATGTGTCTCATGTGTCATGCTTGAGACGTAAGTTGTGCATAGATTATGGGGATACAATATACATGGATGCTATGTTAAAATGTAATAGTTTTGTGAGCCATACCAGAGGTTGGCCTGGGAATTGGAAAATATGAATACTTCTGCATGGTAGCAAACAGTCTATTTAAATGAAAGCATACAAAACAAAACAAACATTTATTGAGATGATTGGATAACAGTTTTTATGAATGAGATCACGGTCTTAGCTCGATGCTGTGGTTAGTAGGACCAGGTTACAAATAAGCCCTTCCACTCACTTTGTTTGAATTGGGATTCATTTCCCAATTTGCTCCAATACCTGGGCTTCCTAACTAGTCACTGTTAGAAATTCTGCAGCATAACCCTAGAAACAACATCAGTGACATTATTTATATCCCAGAGAAAGAGTCTTTAAATAATGCACACAATCCTTTGACCTGCCCTCCATTTCCTTTTTTCTCTCTTTTTAAAACCATTATATTATTTCAGCTCTACCAAATTTCCTGGGAAATGAAAAGTCAATGAAGTTTTTCATCTGACCGGATAACATTTTGAACCATTAGGCAACAAACTGAAGTTGGTTTCCAAGTATTCACTATTTCTTGTTGTCATTAATACTTTCCTATTGATAATAATAGCATTTGTCACATGAAACTTAATATTATTCAGTACAATAAGGCAGAATAAAGGAAGGAAATTACTTTAGCTAGGGGGCCAAAAGGGCTTCCTGTGTTTCTTTGTAACCCAGAATAAACCACATGGCACCTATATTATTGAATCTAGAAAAAGGTGTTTTCTTTCATTATGTTCCCTGTATCATTTCAGAGCGTCACTTGTCATGAGACTAAGATTTGGACACAGGACATTTTAGAATCTTAAAGGGCAGGAAATGATGAAGCAAAACCTATGAATTCAACTGGAGATTAACTAGTATAACAAACAGGAGGTGAAAAAAACAAAACAAACAAACAGAAAACACCTATAGGGTAGTGACCAACGACACACGGATTAGAGTAGCTTCAGTCTATAATAGGTGCATTATAACTGAGTAGTAGAATATGCAGGGCAGGGACTTCCTTTGAATTTAGTAACATTCATCTTCCATAAAATTCCTCTGCTTTGCAACATGTAACAGGTAGGTTGATCTCTCCTCTCTAGAGAGTTCTAGAAAGTAGTTCAGGTTCTAGCGAAAAGACAGGTTCCTCTTCCAGCATGGAAATAAGAGGGTATTCAGGAGACACAGGCAGAAACTTAGTAGAAAGCACTAGACAAATACAGCTGGATTGAGAAGAGTATAGCATCCTGGTAGATGCATAGACTCCCAGGTCCTAAATTTAAATCCGCAAGACACATTTTCAGTATCTTCTAACGGTAAGTTTCAGTGTCTCTAAAATGTTGACAACCAGCTGCAGTGTCTCTAAAATGTTGACAACTGTAAGAATCCCATTTAAAACCTGTTAATGTAAGAAGTCTCTTTCAGCAATTCTAGAATTAACCTGAGATTCTTCATTTCAAACAGGTTCCCTGGTGATGATGAATCCACAGAATACACCTTGAGAAGCAAGGTTTTAGAGGTTACTATGTTTTCAATCTTTTTACAAAACTTCAATTTAATTGTACTTGTTTTTTACTAAATTGATCATCAGAAACATGTAAAGACTGCTCAAATGAAAATGTGCACACTTCATCTCAGGTGAATCAAATTCAGTAGGTCTGAAGTGGAACCTAAGGATCTGGTTGGTTGGTGCTGAATTTTAAGTTTTCCAAAGATTATGAAGTGCAGTTTAGCACTACATTCCAGGGCACAAAATGAACCTGAGGCAGCAGGCTGAGGATTTTCTTATTATTATCTGCCATCAGTCGCTGTGTATGGCTAGAGAATGAAGTGATTACAATGTTCACTTTTTAAAATAATGTTATTTCGTTTATTGCTCTACTCTCAACAATCGATAGAACTACTAGACATAAAATCAGCAGAAACTAGAATTTAAACAGATTCTCGTTTACATATATAGACTATTCCACCCAACAATACAGATGCTCAACTTACCATGATGGGGTCATGTTCCAATATCTTAAATTTATGATGGGTTTATCAGGACATAACCCCATCATAAGTTCAGAAGTGCACATTGTTTTCCAACCATCATAAAGTCAAAAAAATTATAACTCAAAACAGGTCAGAACTGTCTCTGTGTGTGTGTGTCTGTATATATATATATATACATGTATTACATATATATATGTATTACTCTACACAATTATTTCCCATCCACATAAATATATATATATATGTGTGTGCGTGTGTGTGTATATGTGTGTGTGTGAATACATATATATGTGTGTGTGTGTGCGTGTGCATATGTGTGTGTGTGAATACACCAAAGGACAAAATTATAGCAAAAATTTAAAGATATAAATTGGCTTTATTTGTGATTCTAGAATCAGGCAACATTTTATTCCAAAAAAGAGAATAAATATTCCAATGAGCCAAGCAAAAGAGTTTGTTTTCATAGACAGAGAAGGGCTGAAGAAAGTAGAAATAAGGAACAAAAAAGGGATTGGTAACCTCGAAGTTGCTTTCCTTATTAAGTGAAGGTAGGGAAACTGAACAATACAGAAATAACTGATTGGTTAACACCGATTTTTTTCAGATTACCTTTTTCTTTGTAAAGATTACACCAGAGGGAACTTAATTAAGATCCCAATTGAAACTGGCCTATTTGGGAAATAATACTCTTATCTCTCTTCTGATTTCTCCAAAGATCAGATAATAACCCAAATTCTGTTTGGAATCTCAGCATGAGTGACGTCATAAGTATTTTATATATAAATTATTATAAGTTATGTTATATTTTATAGAATATACAAAGTATTATTTTATATTTTATAAATATAAAATATATAGTAAAATAATTATAAACTAAAAATTTTTAAAGATTTATAAATTATTATTTTATGTAGTTGATATATAATAATAAACTTTTAAAATAATACATAATATAAAATAATATATATCATTATTGTATATATTTTATGTAAATTATAATATATAATTAGTTAGTATATAATACATAACATAATACTTTTATATAGCAATGTATATATTTTAATAAATTCTATCTAATAATATACACATATAGTGCCCATGAGAAAATTCACCAAGTTAGCTGTATTAGTCTGTTCTCATGCTGCTAATGAAAACATACCTGAGACTGGGTAATTTATAAAGGAAAAACGTTTAATTCACTCACAGTTCAGCATGGCTGGGGAGGCCTTAGGAAACTTACAATCATGGCAGAAGGGGAAGCAAACACATCCTTCTTCACACGGTGGCTGCGAGAAGAAGTTGCAAGCAAAAGGGGGAAAAGCAAACCATATCAGTAGCTCACATAATGGACCATAAGAGGAACCTCAATCAATTTTTTAAAATTGAAATCATAGATAGTATTTTATCTGACTCTAACAAAATAGAACTAAAGACTAATATTAGAAAGACAAGAGAGCTATCTCTAGAAATTTGAAAATTACATAATATACTTCTAAATTATTTATGTCAATAGTAAATCTAAAGAAAGTTAAAAAAATATATTTTACCAAGTAAAAATGTAATCTAGATAAATAAGTAGAAGCCGCAAAAGCACTGTCGAGATAGAAATTTATGATACTAAATGCTGACATTAAGAAAAAGGAAATGTTTTGAATCAATTATTTGAGTTTGTATCTCAAATAGCAAAATATATCCAACACAAGTAGAAGAAAGGACATTGTAGACAAACACAGGATTCAATGAAACTGAGGATAGAAAAACAATAGGGAAAAAGCAATTGAGAGAAATCAATGTAGCAAAAAACTCATTCTGCATATTCAACAAAATTGATTAAAACCCCAGCAAGGCTGACAAAGATAAAAAGATGAAAAAAGTCACCAATATCAGGAGTGAAACAAGGGGTATTACTACTAGCCCTGAAGCCATTACAAAATAATAAAGGAACACAGTAAGAAACTCTGTGCTCATAAATTTGATAATTTAGAAGAAATGGATCAATTCCTCAAAACCCACAAACTAACAATATTCAAACAAAATGAAAGAGACAAGCTGAATACTACTATAATTACTAAATAAATTAAATTTATAATTTAAAATCTCCTGAAAATAAATTCCAGGCCCAGAGTGTTTTTACTGAGGGAAACTATCAAGTAATTAAAGAAGAACTAACACCAACTTTACACAATCTCTTCCATAAAACAGAACAGGAAGGAACACTTACCAACTCATTCAAAAAAAGAAGCAAAATAAAAAAGTAAAAAAGGAAAAAGGGAAGACAGAAAAAGTGAAAAAGTGCAAACAAATATATTTCTTTAACTTAGACATAATAATCCTCATCAAAATATTGGTGATTAAATCCAGAAATGAATAAAAATAACCATTCACAAAAACCAAGTGGAATTTGTTCCAGGTATACAATATTGTCTCAATATTCTAAAATCAACTAGTATAGTCTACCATATTAGCAGACTAAAGATGACAAATTGTATGAATGCATCAAATACTACAGAAAAAACATATTAAAAAATATAATATTGTATCTGATTATGGTTTGGCGTGTCCCCACCCAAATCTCATCCTTGAATTGTAGTTCCCATAATTTCCTATGTGTCCTACCAGTGGGAGGTAATTGAATCCTCAGGGTGGATGTTTCCCATGCTGTTCTTGTGATAAGTAAAAATAAGTCTCAGGAGATCTGATGGTTTTTATAAAGGGCAGTTCCCCCTGCAGATGCCCCCTTCCTTCTGCCATGTAAGATGTGTCTTCCTCCCTTTACCTTCCCACATGATTGTAGAGCCTCCCCAGTCATGTGGAACTGTGAGTCCATTTAAACTCCTCTTATAAAGTTACCCCAGTCTTGTATTGTCTTTTATTTAGAGCCATGAGAACATGACCAATACAGTAATCAATTACAACCCTCCAAAGACCAACTAAAATCTGATGACACACTTTCTCAACTATATACACACGCATCTAACCAAAAAAAAAACAAAAACCCTATAGATATGTTACACCTTAACAGTGAATAACTGAATATTTATGATATACTTGTGAAATAAGGGAAGCCGTATTCGTTTTCACCACTGTCTAAAGGAAGTGCCCAGACAAATTTTTGTGCGCTTAGAAACAATATACTATACTTATACTCTTTTGGGCCAAAATATAGATAATAGTTTCACTGTGCTAAAAATGAAGGGGTTAGCAGCAGTAATTTATTCTGCAGACTCCAGAACAATTAATCGTTCATCTTCTTCCAACTTCCTAGAGGTCACAGGAACTCTGCTCAGACTTTTCCTACATCTTCCATCACCAGCAAGTGCTTTAGCCCTACAGCCTTTCTCACACCTGGATCCAACCCTGACATTCCTTTCTATAGTAAAATCCTCTCCTGTCTTGCTGTTGTCAAAGCATCTTATGATTACCCTTAGCCATGCAGAATAACTAGAGATATCTCTTCCCATCCCCAACATCCCCAAATTAATACATGGAAAAGGACTTTGTACATATAAAGGTGGACATATTCCACAGGGTTCCACGTAAATTAGTCCTGTTATCTCAGGAGGGTTGGGGGGAGTTATTATCAGTCTACTTACAACAAAGATATGTAGCCTCTTACCACTCTTTTATTTAATCACAATACGAAGAGTCAGACTAATATGGTAAGAACGAATTAAACTCTACCATAGTGGGAAAGGAGCAATAAAAACTTTTTTTTTTTTTGTGGAGCTGACATGATCAAGTATACAATTCAGGAAATCAAAAAGTTTGTAAAATTAATAATGAGCTCAGTAAGAATCACAGATGCAAGAATCAACAAACATACATTAATTGCCATTTTGATATATAACAGGTGGGGGGCTTGAAATTAAAATCACAATCATTTACAATCCACTCCCAAAAGCAATTGAAATGTGCCCTTAAGTTCAAGTTATAGACAAATGTGCAGAACCAGGATCTTGAACAATTACAAATATGGATGAACTAAAGCACAAAGAAAGATCCACACAAATAGAAAGACATACTATGTCATTGAATTGAAAGAAACTTAACAGTAAAGATATTAATTATTCCATATCACATAGTTTTAAATGCAATTTCTATATAAATTCTGGCAAAGATTTTGAATATATGAACAACTTCATTTTAAATTTGTATGGAAAAGGCACATACCTCTCAAACAGCTAAAATTGTCTTGAAAAAAATAAAATAATAAGCATCACTATCTGATTGAGACACTATGGTACTCAAGATACTGTGTAAATTGGTAGAACGAAGAAACCATAACCAAGTGAGCAGAATAGAGAACACAGTGAAAGACCCAAATAAAATATGCAGAACATTTTTCGGACAATGTTACAAAAGCAATCCAATGGGGAAGAAGAATAGCCTTTCAACGAATGGTACTGGGAGCAATAAAATCTATAGGACAAAAAAAAAAAAAAAAAGAGAGAGAAAGAACTCTACCTAAATCTGTATAAATCTATATCTCAAAAACATTCACAACTTAATATAAAAATAAAACTA